TAAAATTAGAATATCATGAAAAAGTTGATTGATTTCAGTAATTCCATTTAAAAAGTGAAACTTGTATATTATATTCATACATTACATACAAACTCATATATTTCAGATGTTTATTTTGTTTAATTTTGATGATTACAAATGACAACAAATGAAAATCTCAAATTCATCATATCAGAAAATTAGAATATTGTGAAAAGGTTCAAAATTGATGGCCCCTGGTGCCACACTCTAATCAGCTAATTAACTGAAACCACCTGCAAAAGCCTTTAAATGGTCTTTCAGTCTAGTTCTATAGGCTACACAATCATGGGGAAGACTGCTGACTTGACAGTTGTCCAAAAGACGACCATCGACACCTTGCACAAGGAGGGCAAGACACAAAAGGTCATCGCTAAAGAGGCTGGCTGTTCACAGAGCTCAGTGTCCAAGCACATTAATAGAGAGGCGAAGGGAAGGAAAAGATGTGGTCGAAAAAGGTGTACAAGCAAGAGAGATAACCGCACCCTGGAGAGGATTGTGAAACAAAACCCCTTCAAAAATGTGGGGGAGATTCACAAAGAGTGGACTGCAGCTGGAGTGAGTGCTTCAAGAACCACCACACACAGACGTATGAAAGACATGGGTTTCTGCTGTCGCATTCCTTGTGTCAAGCCACTCTTGAACCACAGACAGCGTCAGAAGCGTCTTGCCTGGGCTAAAGAGAAACAGGACTGGACTGCTGGTGAGTGGTCCAAAGTCATGTTCTCTGATGAAAGTAAATTTTGCATTTCCTTTGGAAATCAAGGTCCCAGAGTCTGGAGGAAAAGAAGAGAGGCACTTCATCCACGTTGCTTGAAGTCCAGTGTAAAGTTTCCACAGTCAGTGATGGTTTGGGGTGCCATGTCATCTGCTGGTGTTGGTCCATTGTGTTTTCTGAGGTCCAGGGTCAACGCAGCCACATACCAGGAAGTTTTAGAGCACTTCATGCTTCCTGCAGCTGACCAACTTTTTGGAGATGCAGATTTCATTTTCCAACAGGACTTGGCACCTGCACACAGTGCCAAAGCTACCAGTACCTGGTTGAAGGACCATGGTATCCCTGTTCTTAATTGGCCAGCAAACTCTCCTGACCTTAACCCCATAGAAAATCTATGGGGTATTGTGAAGAAGAAGATGCAATACACCAGACCCAACAATTCAGAAGAGCTAAAAGCCACTATTAGAGCAACCTGGGCTATCATAACACCTGAGCAGTGCCACAGACTGATCGACTCCATGCCACGCCGCATTGCTGCAGTAATACAGGCCAAAGGAGGCCCAACTAAATACTGAGTGCTGTACATGCTCATACTTTTCATGTTCATACTTTTCAGTTGGCCAACATTTCTATAAATCCTTTGTTTTTATTGGTCTTCAGTAATATTCTAATTTTCTGATATGATGAATTTGAGATTTTCATTTGTTGTCATTTGTAATCATCAAAATTAAACAAAATAAACATCTGAAATATATGAGTTTGTATGTAATGTATGAATATAATATACAAGTTTCACTTTTTAAATGGAATTACTGAAATCAATCTACTTTTTCATGATATTCTAATTTTATGACCAGCACCTGTATATACACCCGTGGAGGGCAGCTTGACATGTTACTGTGAGGGACCAAACCCAAACCACCAGCAGGTTGACACAATCACAGCAACATTATACAGTTGTAAAGAAACCTTTAAGGTGTTTTTGCGACAAACAATTCAGTTTACAACCACATAATGTGGTTAAAGTCTGTAAAATATGCAACATACAGATGTCTTCTATATCTCAGAGCTGAGATTCTATCAAGAGACTCTTTTACAAAACCAGTTCCCTCCTTTGGTATCATGTCGCAGAACACATTTGTTGCCTAAGGATTGAATTACATATATTACATATTTTTTTAAGATCAAATTTTTTTTGCAAGTTCAGCCATCATTGGATTCTGTTTTCCATGATATATAACCATCCAAATGTTTTTGTATTGCCTAGATCTCTAAAAGCTAATACATTTTTCTACTGAGTTGGAAAAATACTGTTGTCCTTGCTGGAGCCTTGTCTGTATGAGGATAAGAGACCCCCCGCCCCCCCGTCTGGATCCAATGGGCTTCAAAGAGAAACTGTCATCCAGCTCTAGCCACCCTCCCTGCTAAGACGTGCACATGATACCACTGCTGGGACCAGAAAAAGATGTTTAAATTTCATTTGCCGCTTTCATCTGACAGCACATTCTCTCTTAATCACATAATAATGTCTTTAAGAAATAAATATAATTTGACTGCACATAAAATTACAACAACAAAAAACTGTATTCATTTAATAGACATCAGATATGAACAAAAACACATATTTTAGCTGAGGAAGGAGTTTCACCTCCCTATATTTTGGTGTGAGACTCGTTAGATGAATGACAAAGATGTTCTATCTATCTATCAGTTTCTGACATCAATCTGAGGAAAATTTGCTCCCCTGTTCACTTTGAGCTGTTCAATGATCACAATGATCTTAAACAGAATAAGATTAATGATCAAGGTGAGGGCCTCCACTACTTTCTGTTTTTGTTTTGTTGCGATCCATTGTCGCTCATTTAATGTAATTACGCTGGTCTGAAAACACACCCCTACGGCGTAAGTTTTAAAAACACAAGCTTCCCATATTAGCGTCCTATTTTGCCGCTCAGCCTCTCAAAGGCTAGGCAAGCGCTTCCAGCTGAAGGCTACGTAGCAACTAAATCCCTCTGGAGAAGTCTGTGCTTGCTGGACCGAGTCAGAAGGCCTTTTTCCTGCGATTCAGAGGGGGCTGAATAAGGACTAATCTGAGGTTTAAATAGTTTGTGTCCGGATATTTTACTACAAAACTCTGGCTTTGATAAGTTTTCCTAATATTTTTAGATAATAATAACCTATAAGAGAAGCACTTTTTTTTTGGATTTGAAAGAAAACAGTTCTCATTCTCACTTCTAAGACTAAAAGGAGGTTTTAAATTGACACCGATTGAAGCAAATGGCTGAAGACCACAGACTCGTATCTGTTGTCACTTAAAAATAAAGTTTACTGCTAGTTTCTAGATACAAGTGAGCACAATACCTGTGTAATATTTTTTTTCCATTTTATTACATAAGTAGTGCATCAGAGGACAGTTTTCAGCATTTTGACATATTACAAACTTTAACATGCTGTATTGCTCCTCTGTGGGAAAGACCAATGCAGGGATGGTGTAATTTAAAAATAGAAGGAATGTGATACTGGGTTTTTAAAAGTACATTTAGGTTACCCCTATCTGATAGGCTTAATAAAATCCAGTCTCACATTCCTTCTATTTTTAAATTACACCATCCCTGCATTGGTCTTTCCCACAGAGGAACAATACAGCATGTTATAGTGAAATAACACCCTCTATACCCTCTATTTCTTTTTGAAAAATGAGCAAAAGGAAGCGATTTGTGCAAGTTTTTGTGTGACTTTGATATATCAGTTCACTCTGTGAAACAAATCAATAATGCGATACGTCACAACTGCCACTGCTGCTGTGATTGGCTAAAAGCTTGACATAGAGGCAGATGCCAGTTGGTGTTTTATCCAATCAGCTGGCAGAATTATATTGAACGTCCCTTCCTTTTGCGAACACTTTCCACAAGAGGCTTTCAGATGGATAGGACTGAGTAGAATTCAGTTGAACTAAAAGATAAATGTGGTTTATGCAGCTAACCTGAAATCAAATTTACCTCAACAGCTGACCTCCACAGCGACCCTGAAGACAATGCTTAGGCTACAAATGCTTCAGATCATAGCAGATGTGACCAGACTTGGATCTGCTTTTTCTGATCACGGTAGCTTCATCTGGTCTGTTCCTGTTCAGCTGTGACTCCTGCAGAGAAATATCAGCTGTGCTGCTGCCATTAACCTCTCTGTTTATAGATGTTGGAGCTTCGCCTGTTTTCAGGATAGTCCTGTTTCTTTATCTCCTTGAACCCCAGTCAGCCTTGGCATATGGCCGCTCACACTGAGCCTGGTTTTGGTTCTGCTGGAGGTTTCTTCCTGTTAAAGGGAGTTTTCCTCTCCACTGATGCTACATGCATGCTTGGTGTGAGGGTTTGCTATAGAGCCAATGACACAATCCAGGTGAAGGTCGTCGCTGCAGGCTCATCCAGAAGGAGCATGTCTTGCAAGTCAATGACTGGATACAATCAGCTGGTTTTCCTAACCACTCTGATATATCATGTCTTTAATGGGCCTTGACATGATGTCATCACTGTTTATATAATACTCTACTTTTATTCATATTAAGAATCCTTACAGTCCCTTCCTCAGGCCTAATCTCAAAGTGTATTCATTTATCTCTAGGACATTACTCTCCTAACAGTAGGTTTTAAACGCTATCACTGTTCATGTACTTCATCCATTAATGGAGCTAATTGACTTTGAACAATGGTTAATCGCTAAACCATTTAGGCAATTCTGTGTTTTAATAATCTTTAGAATGTTGGAGGGTAAGACTCTCTGTGCATTGGCTCACTGGACCAAGGTCCAGGTTATAAATGGATCAGGTGGTGCCTGCGGGCTCAAAACCTTTGTTTAAGTACTAAAATCTCAGTTATTATTGGCATTAGTCATAAACAGATACAACAAAAACTCAGGATGTATTCACAGAGAAAAGTGACTGAATCCAACAAAACAAATAACACAGAAATATACAGAAATGTAACATAACAACCAAGAGTTTCCTCTAGATTAAAAGAGACGGATAAAATCCTCTGGTATGTTGAAAGTGTTCACAGTATAATCTGTAAACAATATGAAACAGAAATGGGTCTTTTATTTTGTGCTTCACCGTATCAGAAAGGTGAGTAAAATAAACAATAAAAATACATTTTAAAGAACCTAACTGATATCATAATTGAGGTGGTTAAGATTGGATTAATTTAGGTTTTTTTGCCACTTTATTGACAGTTAGGTACGTTATTCCAGAATGTGCTTGATGTCGTCCTACCTTGACCTTGCGTCCATCCACAGTCTCCTCATTGAACTCTTCGCCGATACGGAAATTGATCTCAGTGGTTCGCACACTTGTGGAGGTTTTGATGTAGAACTGCTCGCCGTCCTGGTGGATCTCCACCTGAGGGGTTGAGGCTGCTGCCACAGCTACCTTCCTCAGCATGGCGTTCACACCTGAACAGACACAATATGCGCAAGGTTTTAAAAAAAAGAGACTGCATTACAGCTGCCGCTAATGACTAACTTTCTAATGACAAAAAAAATCCCCACTGTTGGGGGTTTGCATAGTAGCCACAGGATATTGTGGCTACTATGTAAGTTAAAAAAAGTTACACCGTATTGTGTCTATGTATGCCTTTGCTCATATCCTAAACCCTATGTCTCCAGTCAGGTGCTGTCTCAAAGCACAAAAATTACTATAAATGTGCCTGCAAGGCGTTGTTCAAAGTTCATTCTGCATATGAAAAATAAATTAGGGAGTTAAACTCAAAAGGTTAATAAAAAAAAGTTGAAAGAATGGAATGTTATGTAGACGGAACAGAGAGAGCTCTGATCATTATTGCTACAATATAAATTTTTTTATGAAATATGGCAAAAAAAGTTCATCAATAACCAAATTTAAAACAGTAATTTTAAAACCTTCCAGCGAAAAATACTCGATTGTATATTCTGGTACTTGCAGCTTTTACCACAAAACCTTAAAAACTCTTTATTTTCACTTCCAGCCACTACTAACAGCAGTGGGAAATCACCCAAATCATGCCAAGGTAGTTATCCCCAGCAGAATTTGTATCCCCTCACTAGGAGCTGATCAAGTTCACTCCGCCTCACTTTCAACCAACTAAAAATCTTTATGAAAGATGGACGTTGTTATTTTAGTCTTCATTTTACATGTTATAGCAGAATATCACCAGTAATATTCATTTAAAGGGAAAAAAAATTTGTTTCAAAACAGCACGCTGACAGCAGTGTAAAATCCTTCAGCTGAAAACCAACAGCTCCTTGTTGATTTCAACGTATTCCAGAAAAAGATTATCTAATTGTTTCACTGGTCTGAATGTTCTCATCTCATTTAAAACTGTTGTCAAACATATTCTTATAATAAAAATTAAAAAATAAATGGAGTGTACATGTATGTTATCTAGGCTACACCCAGTAGGAATATTAATTTATCCTATGTCATATTTAGTGTTTAGATATATATTTGTGTTTTATATTGACTAACAATTTCTGGATGTTGTACTACCTTTATGGAATTTAGGCGGAGTGAACTCGTTCAACTCTTACAGCATGTGTGCTCCCGGCGAGGGGACACAAATTCTGATGAACTGACTACACAGACATTTGGAGATGGCCTTTCTCGCTTAAAAATATGTTAAAACTATTTTTCCTACTCATGAAGAAAATAAAGCCAAGCTGCTCTCCATCTTGAAGCTACAGAACAGAACAGAAAAACAACCAGAGTGCAGAGCAGCCAGAGTGTCGAAGCATCAAAGCAACTTGAACACAGATTGATCCAGCATTCAACGGCTCCGATGTGAACACAGCATTACAGTTAACATCAGACCTCTATCACTCTATCAGAGGGGTGTCAAAAGTACACACATTTGTTACTTAAGGAGAAGTATAGATAGTGCAGTTTAAAAACACTCTGGTAAAAGTTTAAGTGTCAACTTGACCTCTTTACTCAAGTAAAAGTGAAAAAGTATGTGCTCCAAAAAGTATTTAAAGTATAAAAGCTATAAGCTATAAAGTAACCTTTAAAAAAAACAGCCAGATGCCACTAAAAGAATTGAAAGCTTAATTTTTCAACTATTTCTAAAAATCCTTTGAGATAGAGCCCAGGATAAGGGAGATCTTGTTGGTCTCCATCTCCCAATACGCTCTCGCCTGTGTCTGACCTTTAAGACATTTCAACATCTTTTTCTGAATCCCACATTGTAGCATGGCATAGACAATTCACGTTAACAGTTTGAAGAACACCTGCTTGCTTCTGATGATTTCCTTTAGCTAACCAATGAGTGTTTGCGTTATATGACTCATCCAATCACACTAGTTTTCACTAGATCTGGATGGAGCCAATGATCTGCATTGGATGAATCACATGACGTGAAATTTATATTAATAAACATTAAACCAGGGGTAACCATTTAAAAATCAGCTGGGTCTGAATAAAGAAAATCATCAACCAGTAAAGGTCTGGAGACATTTTTAGTGATCTGTTACTTTAAACAGAATTTAACACTGAAATAAAATGAGGTGTTTATGCATCCATACATTGAATTTGTAAATTAAAAAAAAAAAAAAATATATATATATATATATATATTTCCATTTTAAAATCTAAAGTGTTTTTTTGAAGTAGAGAATAACAATCATCCAGTTTGGGTTATCGACAATTATATATATATATATATATATATATATATATATATATATATATATATATATATATATATATATATATATATATTTCCATTTTAAAATCTAAAGTGTTTTTTTGAAGTAGAGAATAACAATCATCCAGTTTGGGTTATCGACAATTTCCTGATTCACATGATTTTTTTAATATGTCATATTAAATTAAGCGTTAATTTTTGCATGTTTTGCTCGAATTTAATGATAATATTGTACATTCTCTCCCCGAGCTCAGAGGGTAAGTCGGAGCGCAGCAAGACGGGAGGAACAGCGGAGGCTGTAGGCTTTGCTTTGCGCAGGCGGTCTGGAGCGCTGCGGGCGGAGACGGAGGATGTGGGAGTTCAGAGTAACAGGAGAAGCGGCATCAGTGAAGTTTAGACACTGTCATCATCTGACAACGTTTAATGATTAAACCGAAGCCAAGAGTAATGAGTAACGTTTGTTTTAAAAATGTAAGGAATAGAAAGTACAGATACTTGTTTGAAAGTATAATGAGTAGAAGTCAGAAGTAGGAAGAAAAATAAGTAATGGAGTAAAGTATAGATACCTAAAAAGTTTACTTAAGTACAGTAACCAAGTATTTGTACTTTGTTACTTGACACATCTGCTCTATCACCAGCTGCGCGAAAGTATTCCCATACTTTGAATACTTTTGGTCTTCCAGCAGATGCCTCCGTCCAAGATTCAGAATCACCCGCTGCTGACATTTTTGTATCACGCTCAAAACCAGAACCAAGAGTAACAGAAGCTTGTGACCAGAGAGGAAAAGGGAGCCAATTTACCCGCGGTTTTGCCCACAGCAAAATTAGTGTTGTGAAATACTTGAACTCAGATGAGCTGTTTGCTCCGATCAAAATTAATAGGCGAAATGTTCGATGAATTTTTATCGTCAATTGTACAGACCACATTGACTAATCGTGGCAGCACTAGACTGTGTTTAGCAGAGATAGTGTGAGGTAATGCGTACACCCAAAACCACAGACTGTAATAACACACGACCCAGTATTCAAGGCGGGAGAGACAGTTCAAAACGTTTATTCAAAAACGGGCAGGCTGTGGAAATGCGGTATTAGCGGCTAGGGCATCTATCACTGAAGCTCTGTTGGGAAGAAACACAGGTTAGTCACCATGATACACTATATTGCCAAAAGTATTTGCTCACCTGCCTTGACTCACATATGAGCTTAAGTGACATCCCGTTCCTAATCCATAGGGTTCAATATGACGTCGGTCCACCCTTTGCAGCTAGAACAGCTTCAACTCTTCTGGGAAGGCTGTCCACAAGGTTTAGGAGTGTGTTTATGGGAATTTTTGACCATTCTTCCAGAAGCGCATTTGTGAGGTCGCACACTGATGTTGGACGAGAAGGCCTGGCTCTCAGTCTCCGCTCTAATTCATCCCAAAGGTGTTCTATCGGGTTGAGGTCAGGACTCTGTGCAGGCCAGTCAAGTTCATCCACACCAGACTCTGTCATCCATGTCTTTATGGACCTTGCTTTGTGCACTGGTGCACAGTCATGTTGGAAGAGGAAGGGGCCAGCTCCAAACTGTTCCCACAAAGTTGGGAGCATGGAATTGTCCAAAATGTCTTGGTATGCTGAAGCATTCAGAGTTCCTTTCACTGGAACTAAGGGGCCAAGCCCAGCTCCTGAAAAACAACCCCACACCATAATCCCCCCTCCACCAAACTTTACACTTGGCACAATGCAGTCAGACAAGTACCGTTCTCCTGGCAACCGCCAAACCCAGACCCGTCCATCAGATTGCCAGATGGAGAAGCGCGATTCGTCACTCCAGAGAACGCGTCTCCACTGCTCTAGAGTCCAGTGGCGGCGTGCTTTACACCACCGCATCCGACGCTTTGCATTGCACTTGGTGATGTATGGCTTGGATGCAGCTGCTCGCCCATGGAAACCCATTCCATGAAGCTCTCTGCGCACTGTTCTTGAGCTACATGAAGTTTGGAGGTCTGTAGTGATTGACTCTGCAGAAAGTTGGCGACCTCTTCGCACTATGCGCGTCAGCATCCGCTGACCCCGCTCCGTCAGTTTACGTGGCCTACCACTTCGTGGCTGAGTTGCTGTCGTTCCCAAACACTTCCATTTTCTTATAATACAGCTGACAGTTGACTGTGGAATATTTAGGAGCGAGGAAATTTCACGACTGGATTTGTTGCACAGGTGGCATCCTATCACAGTTCCACGCTGGAATTCACTGAGCTCCTGAGAGCGACCCATTCTTTCACAAATGTTTGTAAAAACAGTCTGCATGCCTAGGTGCTTGAATTTATACACCTGTGGCCATGGAAGTGATTGGAACACCTGATTCCAATAATTTGGATGGGTGAGCAAATACTTTTGGCAATATAGTGTAATTTGATGGAGGATCATGATCCACATGAGTCACTAATCTGGTTCAACAGTTCAGTCCATCCTAGAGAACGGAACCAGCTGGATTCTGCAGGCACCACCCAGATTGTCCACAATACTGCAGCCCCGGAAGACAAGCTGAAGTCCGAGCCAAGTCAGGGAAACAGATCAGAACAAGAAGGCTCAGAGGTCCAGGAGTCTGAATCCCAGTCAGGGATACAGTTCAGAAAAGGAACAGACTGGTTCAGGGTTCCAGGAGTCTACAGAAAGTTCAAACGGGAGCCGGCAGAATCAGTGGATGTGAGGCAGATCAGGAAATCAGAAACACTAAAGAAAGCTAAAAACCCTCTCTCCGCTGGCAAAGATAATGGGAACAAGGTCATCTGGC